CCCTACATTCTGAACAGTAATCACCAAAAATAATATTTTGTGCAGATTGGAAGCAAAGGAAGCTGAAGAAAAGCAATGTCATCTCATTAAAAGCATATAAAGGTCTAGCAGAGGTTGCAGTGAAGTGTCTGTGTGAGCTGCTCGTGGCTCTGCCCCACTTCAACTTCCACAACAACATCATTGTCCTCATTGTTCCACTTATGAATGATGAGTCAAAAATGGTAAGTGATATTCTGGTTAGGGAAATAGTTCTTGTTTTGCATGGAAAATAATCTATTTGTAAGCTTTATTCCACAGTATCCAGATCTCGTGGCTGTGTCTTTTTGCTATTTTAGAGGCTGTGTCCACTTTCTGATTAGTAAATACCATCAGTATTATCAGTTAGCTGTTGTCGTAGACCTGGCTTTACAGAAGAATTTGTTTGAATTCACTTTTCAGATTTCTGAACTGTGCTTTGAGGCAGTCAAGAAGCTCTTTAAACAAGACAAGCTGGGCTATGCTTCACTTGGTGTAGTTAAGGTCATTTCCGGCCTTGTGAGGGGTAGAAATTACAATGTCAGACCTGAGGTAAGAGTCTTTCTGTTATACTACAAAATTTTCTTCAGTCAATGGTTTAAACAAAATCTGAAAGTTAAAGTTAGTGCAGCTGCTGGCTACAGACAGGCAGAACTTCCTCACTGTCAGAACACAGGCTGAGCCAGAGAGTTAAAGAGAGAGATATGGGACAGGGGGATCATAATGATTGGAAGATACCTTTAAAGATCATCTAGTCCAACCCCCCTGCAGTGAGCAGGGACAGTGTTACCGGATCATGTTGCTTTGAGCCCCATCAGGCCTGACCTTGAATATCTCCAGGGGTGGGGCCTCTACCACCTGTCTGGGCAACCTGTTCCAGTGATCTGCCACTCTCATATTGAAGAAATTTTTCCCAATATCCGACTTAAATCTACCCATTTCTAGTTTAAAACCATTACTCCTTGTTCTGTTGTGACATGTACTAGTGAACAGTTCCTCCCCAGATTTCTTATAGGCATCTTTCAGGTATTGGAAGGAGGATGGGAGGAGGAGATCAGCTCGCAACAGAGATACGGGTTAAGTTAGGCAGGGAAACTTAAGTGAGAGAGGTAAATGGAGGAATAAATAGAATTGGACAGTGCTGGGGAAGGAATGGGGAGCAGAGGTGAGAGATACAGGTACGAACCAGGAGGGACATAAACTGAAGAACCTTTGACCAGCAAAGCCCACTAGCCCAAATGGAATTCAGGATTTCTTACCCTCTGCATTCCTCTGTTATGGATCACCTTTCATTGTACTTTATTTTACAATAGGTATTAAAAGTATTTCTTCACTTAAGAATTAAGGAAGTAGAATTACAAAAAGATTCTGAAGACATTGCACCAAAGAAAAAGTTCATGACTTATAAGGAGAAAAGAAAAAATCTTTCAAGAATGCAAAGAAAGGTATGGTGTGTGCTTTGTCATGCTGTACTTCAGTGACTTCATGTAGCAATTTGTTGTAGCAATGGTTGCACTTCTGTTGCCATTGTTAACTCTCAGCATCAGTGATTAGTGTTTGCATTGTACTTGAGTGTTTATGAGGTTCTACAGGAAATTGAATTATCTTAATTTTTTTCTCTTTCTGGTGTTGATGATACCTTTGGTTGTTTCTGATAGGAAGGAATATATCCAAGCTGGTTACCCTGTAACATCACAGGGTGACTTAAGCAACTCGCCAAGCATGGAAGATTTGTTCTCTGGGTATCTTTGGAACCTGGATATCCAGGCTGGTTGGAAAAATTTATCTGTTGTCTTAAAATCAACTGTATGTTTTCAGTGGAAGAAAGCAGAAGAGAAACTGGAACGAGAACTCTTGGAAGCAGAAGCATCAGAAAGTAAAGAAAAAAAACTGAAGCTGGTAAGTAATTTAGATACTACTTTCCTATTTTTGAGAAGTAGCAGCTCCTAACCCTTTTGTAACGAGGTGTCTCCCCTCCATCCCAACCTGTCAGCATTCCACACCTCTAGATAATGTCAGCAGCCTACAAACATTTTACCTCTGCCAGTGGTCTGGGTTTTAGTAAACGAAATTTACCCAGGAAAGCCAACTTAGCCATTCATATTTCCTTCTGTTCTCTGCACAAAAAGGTATTTGAATCCACTGACATTAGTCCTCCAGGTGCCCTGTTCCTGTTACATGTGACGCTCTGTAATGGCTCTCACCAGCCTCTCAGAGTGGCCTCAGGCAAAGGAGGAGTGTGGCCAGCATGGAGTAAGGGGAAGAGAGGCTGTTTAGGGGAGGTTGAGGGGACAGAATAGGGAGCAGGAGAGCAGAACTGGAGCTTTTCGGCATAAGAAGAGCAGAGATGACAGTGCCAGGCTTCCACAGCGAGGAGCGTTTTCAGTTGAGTTTAAGTGAAGTAGAAATGTCTGTTTTCCGTGCCTAAGTATTTTACTTTGTTTTCTTTCCTTCAGCACACAGAGACCTTGAATATTGTATTTGTAACGTACTTCAGAATTTTGAAGAAAGCTCAGAAGTCTCCACTTTTGCCGGCCGTGCTAGAAGGTCTTGCAAAGTAAGAACCAAGTCCACCTTCTTCTGTTTGTGTTAGAAAAGACATAAAGCACTAAAAGGATTTTTGACTTTGAAAGGGGTTTGTTTATAAGCAGTGCGTGAGGACTGTCCCTGGAAAATTTGTTGAAATTCTTTTATTTCTGTTGAAGTCTTTACCTATTTCTAAAAACATTTTAATGTGATGTGAAATTGTTTATAAGCAGTGCGTGAGGACTGTCCCTGAAAAATTTGGTGAAATTCTTTTATTTCTGTTGAAGTCTTCATCAACTTCTAAAAACATTTTAATGTGATGTGAAACTTCTCATGATAGAATTGACGTGATGCAAACCCAGCAGGGTTATTTTGTCTGATTACTTCCTGAACAACATTGAGTATGTCTCTAGTGCTATAGGAAAGCCATGGTTAGCAGTTGGGGGCTGAATCATCCATCCATGTGAAGATAACAGATGTTCAGCATTTGACCAGCTCTGCTTTTATGGTGTGGATTTTGGCAGTTCAAAATACTTTGAACTGAGTTTGCAGGTAATGTCTGTAGCTTAAAAATAAAAATCTCTTTGATTCAAGGTTTGCTCATCTCATAAATGTGGAATTTTTTGATGACCTGTTGATCGTCCTTCATTCTCTCATTGCATCTGGGGTAAGTTGAGCTTGCTTCTGTTAAGTTTTCTTAAAATTATGTTCTTTTGGGTACTTAATCAGTTTTGTATTCTTAGGGTTTAAGCTATCGTGAGAGTCTTCATTGCATTCTCAGTGCTTTTCATATACTCTCTGGTCAAGGTAAGAGATCTTTACAAACAAACTTTTGTTAAATATTGTCTGATACATTAATGGAGTGAATGTATTTATTTGGGATTATGTTAATAGGTGACGTTCTTAACATTGATCCTATGAAATTCTACACACATCTTTACAAGACACTGTTCAGCCTACATGCAGGTAACTCCACATTCTTCTTTTCAGTGTTTACCTGGATAATATTTATTCTGCCTATTTGGTATCATAGCCTCACTGTAGGAGTATTACTGCAATGCATGGTAACGGGTTTTGATCGTATCACTTCATTATTCATTAGGGAATGCTGACTGTGTGATCTTGAATAAGCATTTATCCTGTCCCTCAGTTTAAGTTTTTTGACTTGTAATGGTTTGTTTCAATGGCAATTTAAAAATTCTCTATCTTCTAATTCTTTGTCTAACAGAGAAAAATACATATTTTTTCTAATATATTTTTTAAAATAATTTCAATTTAAGTTCTGGTTGCTAAAATCTTCTGGTTTGTATTTCTGATTTTTATAATTCTGTTGTTCTAATTTTCTAACCTAAATTTTCTAATAATTCTGGGAAGCTGAATAGTTTATGCATAAAAGATACTTACAAAGTCTGAACTTAACATCAATTTAATTAATTTCATAAATTTGTATTCACTGAGGAGGAAAGATCGAGAACAGACATTCTACAGTTCTGGATGGGTAAAAGACTAAATCTTTGCACCATGTAACAGTTTATAAAAGATGCTATAATGAATGCACTTAAGGTTAAAACACTAACTGCTTCTAATGCTTAGGCAATTTTGATGGAACAAATATTTTCTTAGAAAAGAGCACAGAAAAAAAAGGATATATTTTTTCTGTTCAAAGATGTATTATCTTTACCAAAAAAAGGATGGATGCTTATGTCTGTATCACATTAGTGCTGTGTCTGAATCTCTTAGCTTTCATGCTATTTCTCAGGTTCCAGTGTACAGTCAGTAGCAGAGTATGTAGCTGTATGTTCCTCGAAATGGTTATTTACTCTCTGTACGAAATTCTGCTTTTGAGGTGGTACCAATGACGACATAGGGATTGTGCTCCAGTGCCTGGATGCCATGTTTGCCAAGCGGAGAAAGCAAGTTTCCCAGCAACGAGCTCTTGCTTTCCTAAAGCGACTTTCCACACTTGCTCTTCATGTACTTCCTAACTCCAGTCTTGGGATCTTGGCAACAAACAGGGTGTTAATGCACGTAAGTTTTACATGTTGGAATTTTTAGCTTACTGAATCACATAATGTTAGGAGTTTGAAGGGACCTCGAAAGC